ACTTAATAAACTTTTGAGTTTTTGCAGAAAGAAGAAAATTACAAAGTTTAGTTATATCCCAGTAATAAAAACCTTTGAGATATAAAACTGGGCCGCCTATATGTAAAATTCTGTTAGGAACAATTTTACTTAGATAGCCAAAGTAGATTTACTTAATAAAAAATTAGAAAAGAGTAATTATGTTTAGAGAAAATTTGGTACAAGTGATCATTGGAAAGAGTTAATGATTTGCATCGTCATTATAGCATTTAATAAATATATTTTATTTTTAAATAATTTATAATTATTAAAATTTATTGTTTTTTTTTATAATTTAATTTATTGAACATTTAATAAAAAATTTACTTAAATTTGTTTAAATTAAATAAAGTTTTATAATACAAGTTTTAATATAAGATAGTTGCCAGATATAGTTAAAATCTTTCTTATATTAAAGGCTTTTTTATTATAAAATTTTCAATTAGAAACTTATAATATTAAGAGTTTCTTATATTGAAGGTTTTTTATATTAAAAGTTACTTGTATAAAAGATGAATCTATAATAATTTGTTTTTAAATTTTAGTAGACTTTTGGCTAAATTGTAATAATTTAATTTTGATGAATTATGACTTTTGACAATCAGCACAGTTTTTTATTTAAATCTTTTTTTATTTTTAGTTAAAATTTTTCTTTTATACTTAATAACACTGGTAAAAATAATTCTGTATACAGAGTTAACAATAGATCTAATGAAAAACATTAATAAAGTTAATGAAGCTTAATAAAGCTTAATGATATTTATTTATTAAGGTTCATTCAGATTTATATAAACTTTTTTTCTCAATAAATAGCAAAATTGCAAATGCTGCCTATTTGATTTTAGCTAATATATATAATTGAAATAAAATTTCAAGTTTTTTTATTCTAAATATATGCTTAAAACTTCTTCAAAAATCAATAAAAAGCATGTTTCCACTTTTTTTTCTTTTTAAAATAAAATTAAAACATATAATAAGAAATACTTTTGCCAATTTTATTATTAAATAAAATAGATTGTAATTTTTTAACTTCACAAGAAATCTTGCCTCTTCACTTCATTCAAAATGGATTACAAAAAGATTTGATTAATTTCTAAATCTTGGTTCTGTTAGATAAAAATAACTATGATAATAATCTTATATTTAACTTTAATCAAAACTTATACAAAAATGCATTAGATTCTGCAGAACTTGAAGATGATTTATAAAAAGAATTTAAAGCAGAGAATATAAATGTTTTGCAAGAGATAGATTATAAAAAAACCAATAATAAATATACTGAAGATGTTTTAACAATTATAACAAAACTAACTACAACATGTTTTATAATTGATAATGAGTATAGCAAGATATGTTGCTATAATAATATTAGTGCTAAAAGGTTGTACAAGCTTATCAGTATCTGAAAAATTAATAAAGATGCTGTTTATAATGTTAACAAAGAACTTCACCTTTTTGAAATATGCATGAAACACTTTAATTATAATCAAAATATCATGCATTACAAAAATTTAAAAAACCAATATTCAAGTGAAAAAGTCAAATCAATTATTGTATTTGTTTTTTTTGCAATAGAAAAAAGATCTTTTTCAGTCACAGAGCAAGTTGTATAGAACATACATAAATTGTATTTAATTAAACATTACAAATACCTTGTTATAAAATAGTTCTTTGTCTGGCTATTAATAACAGCTCATATACAGAAAATACATATAATTCATGAGAAGTTTGTTATATGTGTTGTTAGTGTTATAAAAAGAATAATAAGTATTGCATATGCATCTTGGTTCAGAAAATAAAAAAGATTCAGAGTGTGCTGCAATGCATTCAGATAACACTATATCTGCTCTTCTTTGTTTTTCAATACTAATTGAAATAATTGTGCAATCAGAAAATGTAGTAGTAAAAAGCATCTACTTAAAGCTCTCTTTTTGTGCTTAAAAAACTTTGATTTAAATCCATCTTCTGTACAACTTAATGAATTTTTCAGCTTGTTTGTAATTAATACAATATTCAAAATTAAAAAAATTTAATTTTTTCAAACAGCAATTTACACAAAATTCTAAAATATATAAAGAATTTGAAAAATCACTTGCCATTGAAGTTTTATAATTATGCATCAGTTTAGCTTCTTATAAGCTGATATTGAAGAATTTTGATTCCTTACAACAGTATTATGAGGCAATGCCAAAATGTTTAACAGCTTTTTTTAATAGCCTAGTTCTTATTTTACAATTTCAAAAACATGAAGTTGTTAAAAAAAACAGAAAGAATGCAAAACTACTATAGCCAAATTCAACAAAGATGAAGTAGTAAAAAATACAGCTTTTCTGTCTACTATAATTCTAACATTCACATTTAGAGATTAAAGATTTTGGCTTTTGCAAATAATTGGATCTTTTTGTGAATAGTCAAAATTTATAATATACTTGTATAATATTTTTCACATAGTAAATGTAGTAGCATATTTTAAAGATTATAAAGTAAAAGCTAGAAAACAACATATATCAGATGCAAATACACAAAAAAGACTAAAGTTTGAACTGAATATTTGGAACTTAGCAGTAATAGATAATACTGATTTTAAAGAAAAAACATTTGTAACTAGTAATTTGTTTAATGATACAAGAAATACAGCTCATGCCATCTTGTGTATAGTTTTTCAGTTTAAAATACCTAAAATTGATATAACAACTATTTCAGTAACTGATGTTCTTTATGTCAATCTTTGTGAAAAAAGCACATTTATAAAACAGTAAATGAAAAAACTTACACAAACTTTAAACAGTTAATTGAAAAATATCTAATAGAATTTGCTATAAATAAAATAAATACTATACTCAAAAAGGCAGTAGGAAGGAAATGCAATGTTCTTTTACTAATTATTGTCATATTAGAAGCTAGGCCAATACCAAATAACAATCTTGCAGTACATAAAACTTGTAAAATGTACATAAAAGATCCAAGACTAAATCAAAATAACTTATTAGATATTGCATATAACAAAGTTATTTTTTGCAGACTTTCAGATTATTCAAATAATCAACTAAAGCTAAATCTTATTCTTGACCAGTGGCATACAAGCAAGAACATATATAACACTCTAATTGTTACTTTTTCTGAATATAGATTATTTTAATTAGCAACTAAACTTGGCTTAAAATATTTAAAAAAACTTCAGAATGTTGTCAATTACTGTGCAACTTTTCATGTTTTTGAGCTTATCTGAACAGCTATAGCAATTGTTATTTATAGGTATATAAAAAATCATAATTAATACTAGAAGATATTAAAAATAAAAACAATGTTTTAAAAGTCTGGTTTCTCTATTATCAATGAATAGGCTGGCTCAAGCTTTATAAAATTAGTATTTGGATAGGTAATTTTGAAGTTCAACATAAATATTTGAAAGCTTTTACTTCACTATTTTCTGTTATCAAAAAAAACAGATATGCAGAATTAGTAACATATTTCTTGATGATAGTAAAAACAAATATAAAACTAAAAGCAAAACTCAATGTTGGATTTATAAATTTTACAAAGAATAAATACTTTTTTGCTTTTGATAAAGCACTTAAATATTTCAGCATAAAATTTATTAAACAAAATATGACTAGGCAACCAACCAATTCAAAAAACCTAAAATTAGTAATTAAAGCAGCTTGAGATAAAAGAAATCAGCTGATAACATTACATGTAGAATATGTAACTAACAAATGTATAAGTAAAACTATATGTGCAGAAATTAGTATAAAAAAGTGTTATAAAAACTGATAAATATACTTTATGAAGTGATTACTTCTGAAGAACCTGAAAAACATTCATTGTTTCAACCCTCTGATTAGCTAACATCTAGTGAATACAAATGAATTTTTATCTATTATAACAAAGAAGTAATTTGAATTATAAGTATTATTAAGCAAGATATTTTAAAGCAAGAGAATATGTTGCAAAAAAATGAAAACAAAAGAATGTAGTATTTTACCTTCTTGAAAAAAAGGCCACTTGAAATAAAAAAAAATAAAGCATAAAAGAAATATCATAAATAATAGTAGTTTGTTGCAAGTATGTTTAAATAATCATTGCCTAATAGTGCTTTTACTAAGATGTTTTTATGTTTTAATATTCTTGAAGTTAAAAATAAATTTGTGGCAGTTTAAATATAATTAATATTGTTAAAACTTGTGATCAACTATAAATTTTGCTAGTTATTAGTCAAATAGTCTTTGGTCTAGTTGGTTAATTAAATTGGTCAAACAATTTGATTACATGAACCAATTTAACCTGGTCAAATTAGTCAAATTGGTTAAATAATTTGGTTATATGAACTAATTAGACTAATTGGATCAATTTGGCTATAGTCAAATTAGTTAAATTAATCAAATAATTAGTTATACAAACTAATTATACTAATTAACCTAATTCAAATCAGTTAAATTAATTAAATTGAAACAATTGATTAATGCTACTAAAAAGTAAAAAACATAAAATATAAGAAATAGGCAAAATCTTAAACACTAATAAAAAATACTAACCTAATTTTTTACTTTAATTCTATTTTAATTAAATTATTAAAATTGAATAACACATCTAGCTTTAATAAACTCTCAATTAATCAAGATACTTTTAAGCTGGCTATTCATCAATAATATTATTATTATGTCTAATAAAATTATTTTTGATTATTAAATATTATTGATTATAATAAAATCAGATTAAAATTAAGTGTAGATTTCTATTTAACTCTCTAAAATCTACTTATACTTGTTTAATATAAACTCTACTCTAAAACTAACCTCTAATCTTAACACCTAACTCTAAAATGAGCTCAAAAATTTTTATTATTTGGTAACTTGTCAATTTTTATTATATATATATTTTATTTTAATCTGATTTTATTATATAAGTGCTTTATACATTATTTTAAATATATCTATATGCATTATTTCAAAATAAAAGTTAAAATTTAAACAAATTCTGATTTTCAAAATAATGCCACAAGTATCTGTATAGTATATGCAGATTAAATTATATAAAGTGTCTTTATCAGTTATTTAATTTATTTGCAAAATAAGTCTAAAAATATCAAACATAGAAATTTTTTTTACATACTTGTAAATAGTTGATATTAAAATATTAGCTGTAATTATAGTAATCAATAACTTTTACATATTCTTAATTGAATTAAATAATACTTCAAATAATGATATTTTAATACAATAGACTACATCTGCCAGAATTTATTACAAAAAATATCCTTATTATTTATTAAAATGTTTCACAAATTTAGCTTAAGCTTTGTAAAATTTTAAAAATATGCTTTAAATTATAAACTACTTTTAGATACTAATGTAATGCAAACTATTTTTTTAATTAGATTTTTTTTTTTTTAAATATTAAGATGAATACTTGTAACTTAGTATTTTATTAATAGTATATTTAGCTAATGATTGTATTACAATTACAAGAGGCAACTATTGAAAGAGTATACAACTAGCTACTTTTACAACTTTAGTCATTGTCTAATTTAAGTAGTTTATCTGAAGGTTCTATACTAGCTGCCATACCTGAAACCTACTTGTAGGTTCTCTATTTAACTACTTTAGTTTCTATATCTACTCATCTATCTCTGTTTACCAATAACCTCAGCTGATGCTGATAAAAACATACCATAGCCACTAAGTCTTTAAAGCAGTTTTTTGGAACCTTTGACCTTGTACTAAACCTTCCAGAATCTTCTGTATCCTATTCTTACAGCTAACTCAGTATCACTATCATTAAAACCAATACTAATAATCAAGATATACTATTAAATCATTATGTCCTTGTAGAGTTTACTCCAACCTTGATACTGAATTCACAATATATTCTTACTACTTTAGTATTCAATTCAAGTTCCACCAAGCTGTCATTTTAGATAGTCTGAAAAAGTAGATTGTAACTATACATCTTTGGTTTACATGTTTGCCAACATGTATCTTTTTTCTCTAAAATCTGAAAATTCTAACAGCCTGATTGGTTCATCTAGTCTCTTTTTAAAGACCAATATATTTGCTCAGTTTTACAAGTTCTAGCTTTGATTCATAAGTCTAGTCTTTATAATAGCACTATCAAAAGTTTAGATTATCTTTCTATTCAGATCTTTCAAGTATATTTCTGTTTTACTTTATTTGGTTCCTATAATTTACATAGCTATAAGAACTTATTGTAGGTTTGCATTACTTAGTACTAGTTTGCATTTCTTTGTGTAACCACAGACCTTGTTCCAAAGGACAATATCATGTAATTGTTACACAAATATCATGTGACCTGCCAGTCATGCTGGTGCAATACAGGTAACAGATATCTTATTCCAACCAATTGTAAAAGACAGTTAACTGTATACAAAAAGAATTTTCAAATTTTTCATCAATATTGGGATTTGAACTCTGGACTGCCACTTGGGAGTTAACAACCTGACCACTTCACTAGGTCATCACACTCCTTATTTTTAATTAAATTAGCAATATAGAATTTTATAAGTTATATTGTGAGCCCGATTTTTTGTAAGTCACAGGTGCCCGAATCAGGATAACGATCCTTACCCGATCCAAGGTCATGCAAAAAGTAACAGAAATGGCACTTATGGCACTTATGGTACTTATGGCACTTACGGTACTTACGGCACTTATGTCACTTCTGCTACTTCAACTATATATGCAATAAATGGCATATCGGCCTCTTATGACATTTAGGGAATATATGGAGTATCTGGCATTTAGGGCATAAATTGATTACGAATATAAATAAGATGTTTATTATAAATAAAGAGCATTTCCGCCTCAGGAATAACAAGTAGTCCCTTATACAAATAAAACTTCCAGTATAAATAAATATCCGATCTATAATAAAAGTATAAGTGCAATAATAAACTAATAAATCATCGTTAATCCCACTGTTGCCCATATCGTTCGCTCATTTGTAAACTACTAACTCGCCACTTGACGACTCGCCGCAAGTTACGTGACAAGACCATTAACAAAATTGAAGAAGTTCCAACTCTGATTCGACATAGTGTAATCTCAGGTTGAGAAAGGTAAAGAGAAGATAAAGAGAAGACAAAAGAAGACAAAAGAAGACAGAGAGTTAGTAGAAGAATCATTTAAAGAAAAGACATAGAGAAGGGACGAGTACTTACCTACGGATAAACCACCTGCCAAATCTAACACGCCTATTTTGACTTAGCCACCGTAGGTTATGCAAGAGTTGGATTAGTTTAGCGACAGACTCGCCGAATTCCGGAATCACAATATGAATCTATATGTTACTATTGTGATAATAATATAAATATTAAAATTTACAAAACTATAAAATTCTATAATTGTACTAATTCAAATAATGCTAAATTATTTTTTTTGTTTACAAATAAGCTGTAAATCACATTGACTTATTTTTATATGAAAGCATTTAGAACTTACTGTTAATATAATAAAGATTGACTTTTGAATTAAATCAGTATTATGTGAACTGATTAGAAAATTTGATATCATTAGTAAAATTACATAAATATAAAAGCATTAAAATATCTTAACTCTATTTTTCTAAAAAAATAAAAATAAAAATAAATCATTAGTATTAAAATCAAAATGTCTCAAAATCATTTATATTGATTAACAAAATATGTATATGTTCAAGATAAATTAGGTCTAAATTAAACAGCTAAATAGGCTATTTGTAAAGCCTATAAACATAATGAATATATATTTGAAAAAAAAGAAGT